CGCAGATCAATTACTCACTATCTACACATTATTGCGTCACGTTGTGATCATCTTATATATATATACCAGCGTAACCTATTTCTAGTAAGAACTTGAACATTCGACAAGGTACATGATAGTTCTAGAAACGTTGCGTCACAGTGTCATGTGACTCGCTGACACAACACTATTATACATTTTGTTTTTTCATATATATATTTTTTATTTTTAACTATATTTATTATCTGTGGGGGAAGCGTCAGAAAGCTGTCAGCTCCACGTACCAAGTTTAGTTTTAGTATTTTACTAGGTCCAAAAAACCCATTCATGCGTTTTCTGACTGATGAAGAATACAAGCGTTCGTTGAGTTAAAAATACAAAGATTGTAAGTTACATTATTTTAGTGGTGTTAGATAAACTGATTTGTTGTGTATTTCTTTTTTTTGCTGTTGCACCAAGTCAGTATTTTAGACCTCAGCCACAATATCTTTGCTTAGTACAACATAGCAGAAACTTGATGATTGAAGTAGCCCTTTCTTTTTCTTATATGATTTTCCAGTTTAAACATATTATATGAACTTATGTTTCATTGTTAAGACATGAAAAAAATCAACAATTTTACAGTCTAATCATGCATTAAGTAAGTAATGAACTTATGTTTCATTGTTAAGGCATGAAAAAATCAACAATTTTACAGTCTAATCATGCATTAAGTAAGTAATGAACTTATGTTTCATTGTTAAGACATGAAAAAAATCAACAATTTTACAGTCTAATCATGCATTAAGTAAGTAATGAACTTATGTTTCATTGTTAAGGCATGAAAAAAATCAACAATTTTACAGTCTAATCATGCATAAGTAAGTAATGAACTTATGTTTCATTGTTAAGACATGAAAAAAATCAACAATTTTACAGTCTAATCATGCATTAAGTAAGTAATGAACTTATGTTTCATTGTTAAGACATAGAAAAAATCAACAATTTTACTGTCTAATCATGTATTAAGTAAGTAATGAACTTATGTTTCATTGTTAAGAC